TCAGCAGAATAGCTAAAGATGAGAAAATGCTATATGTAGAAGTAGATCCATGACAGATTCTACATCCATTTCTTGGCTTGATTTTTATATGATAAATATGTTCTATATAGGTGTCTTAAGTTTCTCCACAGTGATAATGTCCCAGATTTTTTTGCAGCCATCTGTCTACAGACTTAGAGTTCTGAAGTTATTTTTTTCTTTTTTAAAAAAAGTTTCTGGCTTTAGTTTGATGGCTACACTAAAGGAAACTATTTTAAATTTCAGTTTCGTTCTGGCTCATCTTTTACGGAGACAACATAATTTTTTTTGTTGATCATGGTGGAAAGTAGCTAAGATTTGTTTCAAGGGTTTTTTTTTTTTTAGAATGCAGTTTGAATACCAGTGTGTATGCCAAGGTATGTAAGATCTGTTTTTCAAAGAAAGTTTCAGAGGGTAGGTGTGTTGGTCTGCAGTAGGACAACTAGATTTGAGTCCAGTAGCACCTTAAAAACCAACAAGATTTTTGGAGTATAATGATAGAATAAGTTGAATAGATTTAGTGGTTCCTTACGTTATCATGTCATATATTTTTCCTAAAAATTCACATATTTGAATCAAGGATTGTCTTATATTTGCAAAAAGTGTCCGTTATATTGTGTTTTGGTAATTTTACCAAAGCCCCCGCTTTCTGCTCTTCATGGAGTTTGTTGTTGTTCTTCTGTTTGTGAATGTTGCTTTGCAAACCATGAACCAGCTGAAGTTTGTGACAAACTTTAGTTCATCAGCCAGTTCATGCCCACCCTTACTTACAACAGATGCAGGGCTGCGGATGAGTTTGTGGCAGGGACAAGACTGGAATAGGGAACCTCCAAAATCACAATTAATTATCTTAGTCACTGCATAAGGTCCAGTAGTTGGTTGAACTACACCAATGATGTAATTAGAAATGTTGATTAGATTACTGCAATGTGCTCTGTGTGGGGCTGCCTTTGAAAAGCGTTTGGAAATTTCAGCGTGTACAGAATGCTGTAGCAAGTATATTGACTGGATTGGGTATAGGGATCATACTACTCCAGTCTTGGCTCATCTACAGTGGCTCCCAGTCTTTTTCTGGGCACAATTTAGGGTGCTAGTGTTAACCTTTAAAGCCAAGTACGGTTTGCAACCAGAATACCTGAAGGAGCACTACTTCCTAAGCAACCTTCCTGACTGCTGTGATCATTTTTTGAAGCCCTGCGTTGCATGTCCCCACTTTCTCAGATTAGGCAGGTGGCAACCTGGGAGAGGGCCTCTCAGTCATGGCTACAAAACTCTGAAACTTTATTGGTGACTCTGATGATGGAAGCCAAAATGAGAGATCATGGGAAGAGGTGGAACTCCAAAAACAACATCCGTGTCAAATAAAGAGTCAATAAAGATAAGTTGCAAAAACATTTACTGAAGTATTTCTGTAGTTCTGTAAGGAATATCCTTCTGTCATAGCTCACACGCGAACGAATATTGTGCAGTGTGAAGACCTTGGGTCCTGTTATTAGTCAACATAGAATGTTTCCAGCAAGAGTTGATAAGTAGTATTTGATAAGAATTGGGATTGCTACGTGCTCAGATAAAGTATATATTGTGAAACAAATGTTCACATTGCGCAGTATTTGTTAGTGTGTGATCGATGACAGAAGGATATTCCTTACACAACTACAGAAATACTTCAGCAAATGCTTTTGCAACTTATCTTTATTGAATCTTCGTTATTTTTATCACGGATGTTCTTTTTGGACTTCCACAGTGACTCTGATGATGGCAGAAAGGTAGGGTATAAATTCTATATGTCAAAAAATAGATTACTACTACAGTCATTATTTCAAGTATTAAAGTCACTTAGTTTTCATGCAAATTCAAAGGATTTTACAGTAGAAATAGACTCTAATCTGCACCAATAAAGAATAACAATGAATGGTACTTTTTATTTTATTTATTATTGGATGTTCAGGTTTTGTGCAATACAGGTTTTGTACAATACATCCCCTTTCAATAAAGAGATGAAGTTGATAGTATTTTGGACAGGGTCTTTATAGTTGTGACTGTCTTCTGAGTCGCAGCTGAGAGTCAGCTGTCTTCTGAAACCCAACCTTATAGGTCATATACAGGCAATATAAACCTTTTACTCTTGAAGTGTAGTTGTGATTCTCACTATATTGTTTTGACGACACTAGATAGAGTTTTCTATGGGGCATTGCTGGCCTGAGGTTCATTTTGGAAGGTGGCTGTCTGATATGTAGAAAGTATTCGTGAGAGAGGAGGGACTGTGGACAATTTTAAATTTCAGACCAGGAAGGTCTATCCATATTTTTACCATTCCACAGGATATACAAAAAACAGTTGTTTAGAATGGTGTTGTTTATGATGGCGGGTTGTTGTGCCATTAGTTTTATGCTTGAGGATGGATTGCAGAAATGCATCAAATAAAATAATAAAACTAAGCCTTCCTAGGCTGCTAGTTTGAAAAACATTGATATAACCAGTTGGGAATGATACTGACCAGTCAGGTCATAGAAACTGACTGTACTCTTAACAAGGGCCATGTGGTTTGGAAATGAACTATAGTTTCTTATTGTCTTGGCATCAATTTCATAACTGAATTTATAAATCAGGAGGAACCCATATGCATCCTTGCTGCGCACTTGGTTTTCCTGAAGTGAAACGTAGCTGAAAATTTCTTCACCTTTTGGGTTACGAGTTTCAGGTGGAAAAGGATAAGGGTAGTGTATGTATCCGGGGTCCAGCCCCCTGGTCCTCTCACCTTGGGAGCTGGCTACTTCACACCCCCAGACAAGTAGAAGGGTTCTCTCATCTCAAATAGACCTCCGAGTCCTTGGGCTCCCTCCTGGGATGAAAGAAAACAATCACCAATTGCACTGTCCCACATGTTAGTTTTCTCAAAAATCAATACTGTTTTATTTAGGAGGAGCAAAGGTAGAAACACAGACTTATCTCCCTTTGGCGCTGTGGGTGAAAGCCCTAAAAAAAACAACTAGGGGAGATAATAACAACATTTATAAAAAGTAAAAATGTGAAGGCAAAGTTCTGCCCATCTAAAGCAGACCTTACTGAGCCCCTAAAGCTGGAGTTGTCCTTGACTGGAGGTTGGCAAGCCTGCAGGCAGAAGAAAGAGGAAAGGAAAAGTCCTCCGTCCGTCAGCAACAGTGAGCGGCAAACTCTCCCCTTCTTCTGAAGCCTTGTTTCTGTTTCAGCGCCACCGTCCTCACCAATTAAGGTGCAGAGATTAGCTACAGCTGCTTGAAGGAAAAACACCACGTTTTCTTATAACCTCTCTAGGGAGCCCAGATGATATTTCACTTCAGGAATTTAAGGAGGACGCACCACAATAATAATTAGTGTTTCTATACAGGTAGCAGGACTACCAACTGTAGCTTTCCACCTTTGAAATTCACGAAATGTTATGGAAACTAGGCCAGTTGTTGCAACTAACATACTCAAATTAGCTGTGACCCTCTGGCTTATAATATATTTCTGGTGTTGC